CTGTTCCGACTGAGGAACCGGGCCTTGCCTATGGGACTATGCAGTGATAGATGGACACCATCTCTCCTGTTCCACACATTCAATCTCCCAACGTGACCATCCTGGACCAGACTCCAGCAGCTGGATAGTACTTTACCCCTAAGAACAGATATAGATCGAATAGAGTAGAATAGACTTAATTCGTTGCATTCGATATGCGCATGAACATAAATCAGTCTGTGGTTACTACCCACCTTCGTAAACCAGGTAAATATTCTACCAGTAAACAAACCCACCTCCATCTCTTTATTCTCACTCTACATACATCATAAAACCAACGACGATCACGATCACAATCATCATCCATGTCCTCTCTCTCTCTCTCTCTCTCTCTCTCTCTCGGCTTTCAGCTCCGCTCCTTACTAGCATTCAAAAATAAATCTACCTCTGATTATAAGTAGATCAGCACTTACAATAGCCAATGTTTGTGATCTGCACGCTAAACCCATCCATCCAATTTGTATCAACTTCTAGACTGGAAATACGGAGTAGTAGTAGTAGTAGTAGCAACGATTACTGCCCAACCAATTCCAACCCGAATCTACTAGTTAGTACCAGTACGCCAAATCCCGAGAGGGGAAAGAGATTAGCGGGAGCTTATCTACAACCATACACATATGGACTGCAGAATGCAGGGGGAAGGGAGGGAAGGGAGAAAAAAAAAAGAAAACAAGACGGATGATGATAAGGAAAAAAAAAAGGAACTAAAATAAAAGCAAGCATATTCAGGAACAGGTATGTGTCAGTGGAAGTTAATTTGGACCTACTTACTGCTGTAAGGTTGCCTTCATTGGGTAGCTAGTATTCAGCTGGGTTCATTGGGAGGTTGGTAGTTGATTAGTGGGTAGTTCGCTGTAACTATTGCTGGAGTTGAACAAATTCAAGTGGAAGTTGGTATCCAGGATTGATAAAGGTAATAATCTTAACTATCTGTATATACAATGCAGTAATCTTATACATGTATCACAAGAATGAAAAAGAAAGAAGAAATATCATCACGACTCATCAGACGCATACTCCGTCATATATATAAATACATCTCAAAACCATTCCCACCGGCCAGTGTTCCTTTTGGTATGTTGGTATACGGAACTGTGCCCCAATCCATGCCCGCTGACGCCATGTCCGTCCGTCTCGCTTTGGGGCTGATCCCCTTGGGTCTTGTTGCCCATTCGCCATTCGGTAGACCAGAAAAAGAAAAGAATGGTAAAGAAGAAAGAAAACAAACGGAAGAAAAAAGAACAAAGAAGAAAGAAATACATACATCGAACAACGAAAATATCGTCACCAGTAAGAATGACGGACCATCCGATCGGACCGAACCGAAAAGAAGAAAATATGCAAACGCAAATCGAAGCGGCAAATAGCCTAGGTAATTAAGAAATCCATGTTCATGTCGCTGATGATCTTCTCCCAGTCCCAACTTTCTTCCATTTTCGTGTCCATCACTTCCCACACTCGCTCCACCACCTTGAAGGCGGGCTCGATGTTGCGGAGATTGGAGTAGCCCTTGAGGGTCTCAAAGCCCTTCTTGATCCTCTCCCGCTGGCGGGGCACGAAGGCAGAACAGCCCAGGAGGAACAGTGGCATCAGCACAATACTGTAGGCACCTGCATCCTGAGGTAGCTGGTCCAAAAAAGAAAGTCCGTCGTCCACAACCTGTGCAATTTTGTCGCTTGGTCGGGACGGGCGGATGGTGCGGTACAGGTAGACCCAGGTGGACTGGCGATATAGTTGCGCCAGGTAGTAGTTCGGCGTGTTGGGCGTATACGAGGTCTCCCAAGCCCGGATGGCGGAGTCGATGGAGACGGCGTCACCGAGAATCTGGTAGTCAACCGCAGGCTCGTAGCCTTCATTGGACCGCTGTCGAATCCGGTCTCGAATCCGAGTTACCTCGGAGATATAATTGAACAGACCATCAAACACTCCAAGGAACATCCCTGCCTGCGCGTGTGGCACAAAGTCAGGCAGCCGTAAGCCGCCCTGCAAATGGGCGGGGCGGCGATCCAGCGACGTGATGGAGTTGGAGACATCATGGTACTGGAAGAACTCGACAATAAACTGCCGGAACTTCTCATTCCTCGGCTGCTGCGTCGACAGCAAGTACCGGGCGGCATCCATGTGGGGTCGGTATTCTCCTTTGGTTTCTCCTTCACAGATGGTGTTCAAGCTGAGCGCTATCGTGGATGCGATTATGGGATCTTCGATCAGAAGCTCAGGGTCCTGCTCAGCAGTACCCGAAGATGCTGTGATATTATCCTTGAGATCCCTGATAGCACGGTGGTAGTGATAGAACTTTCGCTCCTCCAACATCGGATCATGATGGAGACCCGACAGATGCGATCCCGAGAGGCACATGAGCGAGTGCATCAAACCTCGGTGCTGAGTGGCCATCGGGAGCAAGATCTCCTTGAACGGGTTGGAGTCATCGTTGATCAGGGTCAAGACGCGACTAAATCCATAGACGAAATGATCAAGGAAGCGTCGGTCAATCTCGGTTTCGATGCCGTCGATAAGCAGAGGTAGAGAGCGGGCAACCATGTTCTGGGTGCGAACTGCTGTGAAACCAAGGAGTCAGAACGTTCACACAAGTGTCAAGGTGACTGGATCAAAGGTGCCGGAGAAGCAACCAGGAGTAGTAAATACGCACAGCAAAGCAGCTCGAGCATGCCACGGTCCAAGGTGCACTTACCATCCTCAAGCTTCTGCTTACCACTCTTCCATATTTCTTTTGGCGGGTAGCCCTCGCATACTACAGCATTCTTTTGACAGTTGAGACACCTGCAGGAAGGGAAAGAAAGTTAACCACTGCGACCGTTGCGACACAGGATGGACCAGTCAAAGGAGGACGGGAGCTTTACGCTGGCTTGGTTTCGTCGCATTTCTTCTTCCTCCGACGACAGGTGATACAACCCGTCTTGGATCGCCCCTTGGTGATTTTGATCTGATTCCCGGGCGCTGGCAGCGGATGTTTGCGCGGTCGTCCACGTTTCCGTGGGACGTTGACGGGAGCAGCCGTGGAATCCGGATGGGTAGAACTCGCATGGGCCATCGATGTCTCCACTCCCACCGGTTTTATGCTTTGCAACTCGTCCACATCATCTATCTCCTCGATCTTGGGCGTGACCTCGTCCATGGACGCCTCCATGCCGTGGGATGCGATCACGTTGAATCGGAAGGTTTTCGGCGAGGTGTCTGCGGTCGTCGGAAATGGATGGTGTAAGCCGTCTTGAATTTTGACGTCGACCTCGGCAGAGGGAGAATTATCGGAAGGGGCGTCGCCATCCCACGAGGCGGGCGAATCGTTAGATATGCCGTCGGTGGTGCTGATGCTGTTTCGGTGCGAGAGTGACGAGTCGTCTACTAATGGACAGTCGCCGAGGGCGGGGACGTCCGTCAACATGACCGAGCGGGTGGAGTCGCGACGCTCAGCTGCCGGGTTGGTCGATGGCATGGCATGAGGGAGACCGGTGACATTATTGTAGGTAGCGGATGGAGGGAGCACATAGGAGTGAGATTTCTGCATGGACAACATTGGCCCATACACACCTCAAGTTGAGGTGAGCTATGATTGCGAGGTAGACAGAAGAGGGCGATAAAGAGGGGGTGGGAAGATGTGGTGGAAAGGAAGGTGAGCGAACGGGAAGCGAAATGAGTTGGTTGGTTGGTAAATTGGGGGAGTTTGAACCAGCGCGAGGAAGAGGGGTAGACGGGCGACAATGCTTCGGCAATATGGAAGGGGGAAGAAGGTGGTTTAAGAAGGAGGTTGTTGGGGGGAGGTCTTTTTTAAGGAGGGGAAGGTGAAGAAGTGAGTTGAGGATAATAGAATCTCCCTATAGAGTAATTATGATTGGAGTGGGGAGCAGTTCAAGACTTGGCTGTGATTTAGTGGAAGCACGGATTGGACCCGAGGGAGATTAGTCGGTAGTTAAGCAGGAGGATTTCGTGGTGTGGGTGGATGGGGAATAGGCAGGTTTGAATCAGTCAATCAGTTAGCTGTTAGTGTAAGAATAGTTGTAATAGTAGTGGTAGTCAGAAGTAGGAGGAGTAGGAGTAGTCGGGTGGATCGTCCGTGGGCAGTGATTGAAGAGTGGGAGTGCACTAGAGGCAAGAATCTTTCCTCTTGAAACGAGGCTGAATTCGAAGATCCGGGAGAAGAGAAGGATGGGGAAGCGAGTTAATATAAGGAATAGTATGGTATTTTTACTGGCAAGAGGAAGTAGAACCAAAGAAATAATTTTGGGTTTTTTTTGTCTTTCTTATTATTCAATAGGATTCCGAACAGTAGTCATAGGAATGATTAATGTTCCTGACAATCCGTATTGTATGGACGGGTATGGCGATGGGGATGGGGATGGGGCAAGGTATTAACAGTAATTCTCTGTGAATGGATGGCTTGGAGGGGGATGGATGGCAAGACGGAAAGGTAACCAACCCAAGTGGGCAAGTCGAGAGGGCAGTAACAATAATAATAGTAGGAGGAGAAAGTTAGTAGAACTTTTAGTAGTACTTCTGGGCTGCACCGGAGTATTATGAGAATTATAATCATAATTATAATTCTTCGTCTTTTTGTGGTTAATTCATGATTTCACTTGCTACCAACTTGTTTCTTAGTACTATATTTCTGATGGTTGAGCTATGGACTGACTGACTGACGCCTCTGGAGCCCGTCAGACTACTGCTACTGCTGCTACTACCGACATAAGTACAGTAGCTACCGTGCGCAACAATATTAATGAAGGAACAAAAAAGTAAATAAATCATATATTATAATTTCCTGAAAAATCCGAGGAACAATTCCCTTGGGAGAAACATTCTCGTGATGTATGCGGATGGGGACTTTCCCAACATTAGGATTATCATTAGTATCCTCCTGCTCATCTCTGGTTCATTCTCTACTCCTCATCGGTCGGGGAGTGATTGGAGGCATGGAAGTGGACCCCATCAAGAGGGCATCCAAACTAGGCAAACTTTGTGATCAATGCTTCCTGTCCGGGGAGAATCGCAATAATTAACCGTGACAATGACAACAATGCGCGCCAGAGCCAAGCCCACTTTTCGGAGATTCCGCAGCGTGCCAGACAAGCCAACTATACCGGCAGTTCGGCCATTACTATTTTGAGTAATCTAGGGCGTTTTGTTTCTATTGATTTCTCTAACATAGCGGGTCAAAGGATCTGGGACTGATGATGATCAAGAAAATCAAACAAAAGAACTTAATAAATACAAAGACCAAGAGAAAATGAAAAAAAGAGGAAAGGGAAAAAAAAAGACAGGGTCAGTAGGGCATCCATCCATCCCGTCCCGGGCTGCGCTTTTTTTAAACTCTAACATGGATGCGGGGGGGTCGAGGAACGCCAAGACAGTGCACATTTGCATTCTGATTGGTCCATCGCCAGACGGAGAAAAACGCCAAAGAAGCGAGCCAAAGCGATGCTAAACTTCACTAGGTTAACCTGCGATTCTCTTCGCCGACCTGATTTTCGTCGTCTTTCCTTAGTGCCGAGTGCCTAGTTCCAGTTCCTACAGCTTCCACTGACTCCTGCTCCAGCACGGTGGATACGCAAAAGCAAATGATGCTGCTCGAATGAGAAATTTGTTTTTACACCCAGTAGAACAGCCCCAGCTGGGAGGGTCCCCCTCCAGAAAATAAACCTTCCCTAGTCCTACGCATGGATGGTGCACCCTGGGAAAGGTCGCCGGACGGATGATCCTCGTCGCTCACCACTAGATCCTGCTGGGCACACCTTTCGGTTGGCGACCGGCCGGTGTGGGTGATTCCCCAGACCCGTCCAGAATGCAATGGATGGTCCTCCCTCCCCCCTCTCTGCTTCTCCCAGGGGCCCGGCAGCCTGTAAGACTAGAGTGAAAAAATTAGTGATGGCCGAAGCAACTAGCGACTGGCTTGCGTGGAGGATCTGCCCCATCCGGTGAGGCTATTGCCGACTCCATACAACCAGATTGACTGGCAACCTTCCCCAGTCGTACAGGGCCGCGTCGCTATGAGAGAGTTCGTCACCTTGATTGCGAACTGCAGCTGGAAACCCCCGAATCCGTCCTGATGACACAATGCCAACGGGAAGCAGGTCCAGATTATGGAGCAGCCTCGCACCGGTATGTGCAGGTGGTGGCAGTGGCAGTGGTGGAGGTGGAGTTGGTGGTGGTGCTTCTTGTATTGCTGTGGGAACCAGCAACCAACTGATCGTGACCATGGGAATCTCGTTCTCGTATAGTCAGTTAACTTTCCCCCGGCCCCCTAATGGTTTGGTGGAACAAGAACGGGAGGATTGTCTTCTCCAAGTGTAAATCTTCGGAGCCCCCCAAAAATCACACCAGACGATCAGTCTACTAAAAAAAGCAACTACGCAGTTCGATCTATCTCTAGCATATCAAAAGGGGAGAGGCGAAAAATGAGGACCTTCTTTCATCTCTCACAGACCGGACACGTTGAAGCAGTGAATGCACCATGTGTTCGCGGACAGCCCTGCTGCAGTGGAAGAGCGACGCCGATGACGGTGGTGATGACGGGGCGTAGCGTTCTAGTCGGTCTTATGTATTACTTGCATGCCGGGATGACACGGCTCGGGCTCAGCTGGACGCCACACCCCACGCTACGACGACCTTGGACACTGCGCTCTCTCTCTCTCTCTCATTTTCTTGGGTCTCATCAGCCGGTGTTGGACAAATGCGGAGATGGCCAGATGCTCGGGCAGTGACACCACAGGCCAATTTCCCTTGAGGTACTAGTCTTGGAGCTCTTGTCCTCCCTGCATTGTGATCCGTCTGACCAGTCTGACGCCCCCCTTTCGAGTCGTCCGATCTCTTCCCCAGACTGCTGAGAGATACTGCGAAAGCTATTCGTGAGAGCAGATCGGACGGTAATTAGCGAGGATTGACATACCCCTCCGAGCATGCCTTGGTCGTGTTACAGACGGCGACAGGAATGGAAGGCCAGAAAAGCCCTCACCCTGACAATCTGGGGAAAAGTGGGCCAGATCTCCTCTCCTGTGCGCCCCCCAGCACGGACATTCAAGGCACTGCAGATGAATCTTCCATCCAGGACGGCCAACCCATCTGTCCACCAAAGCAGGCACGGATGGCTTGGGAGTGACTCCTGTAGGTACTGGAGGTATTACATCTCTTCCCGTGACCAGAGACAAATTCAATCTGGCAGGTCTGTGATCTTGTCATGGGCGACTGGTTCCCTGTTTATGCGCACGGCACCCCGGGAAGGCTCCGTGCAAAATAGGCAGAGGCCGCCTGCAAATGATTCTGTAGTAGGACTAGGTACTACAACTAGCTGTTCCGTAAACGCTCATAGTCATACTACTAATACTGCTACTCCTACTAATCACACTTACTTATGGAGTACATCCAGGCAGTACGTGAGGGTCATCGCGACCGACGGATCGCCGTGTTGGGGGTCCTGGTCAACGGTCTGTCCTCCTCCATCGCAGGTGGTCTCCTCACTCGACCTTGCCCTCCCACGCCGTCTTTCCCCTCTCATCAGATGTTCTGCCTTCCCTGACATGAGGAGAGAGTGGACTTTTATTGGAGGACTATGTTTCCGAGGGCTTGGACCTCACGGCTGACGGTGATTCGAAACGGCTGGCGAGGAGTAGTAGTCCGCGCCATCTGCCAGACGACGAATTCGGAAGTGGAGCTAGAGCTTAGGCTGGCTAGAGCTCGAGCTCGGAGCTTGAGAGGCTCTGGCGCCGTATTCTTTTTCCCACTACTTACAAAGTGGACTAGGCTTCTGGGTCCGACCGTGCCTCGCTTCTTCCCCTTTTCCGTTGTTTTATCCGCGTGTCGCCGGTTTCACTCTAGCACTCGTCCGGTTCGCTCTAGCGATTAAGCTTGATGATCATGGATGGTCAGATGGTCATGACGATGGCTTTTTTTGTGTAAGAGCCAAGGTCATGAGTGGATTCTCTCTCTCTTTCTCTCTGGCACTCGCCCGAGAGAGGGCAACAGAGAAAGCGTCGTGGGAGACGGCGGATCGCCCAATGGGGAAATCCGTAACGAAGATTACAGTACCTTGTATGTACCCAGCACCTGCTTGAGTGCTGCTATTGAAGCTGGAGAGTTTGCGCTATGCTCTCTCAGCCCACGAGTCCTCCGTTATTTCCTACGAGTCAAGCCGGTCTTGGGGTCAGGCAGGTACAAGAAACTAGGTCGCCTAGCTTCTGTTAGTCACGATGGCTAACCAACACTCGTGCCCGGTCACCGGAAAGCCCAGCAGGTGCTGACGCTGCAAGTGCACTCCTCACGACCAATTTGCTACAACAGGGAATTCGAATTAACCAGCTTGGGATAATTAAGCATTCATAATGGAGCGACGATGCCTGGGTTGAAACACGCCCCACTCACCAGCGGAATGGTCGTGACAAGACCCCTCCTGCACTCCATACTACTCTACCGCATCGGGTATACGTACATGGCGAGAGAGCCATTGCCTTTGCGCCAATTTCTCATTAGAAAGCAAGCACAGCAAGCGGGCGGACATGAGCCCAACCACTGCATGCGAGAAGGTTAACAGCGCCATCTCAACCAGGAGAGTCAGTGGAACGGGACAAGTGGATCCACGGAAGGGTGTTCCCGCCGTATTCCAGTGGAGAGAGACAGGGAGTGAACCGCCGGTTCTGGTCACCTAAATTCTTCATCCTCATCTTTTTGCTTCAGATCAACAAGGCCTGCATCTGCTCACAAATGGGTGTACGATTGAATTTCCTTGCCTTATGCCTGCCTGTCCACGTAGACGCCTACCACCTACCTACCCCGCCATTCTTGTCCTTGCGGAGTCTCGTACCGAGTATTGTACTTACTGAGCAGATCTCTTGACTCGCAGCTTTGTCGCTTTTCATCCGTTGCGATCGTCTTCTCCTCATCACTCCTTGCGTAAATGCGGAGGTGACACGGAGACCTGGATGTGCTTGGTCTTAGCTTGTCAATACGGCCGGTTCTATAGGCACGCCATAAAAACTACGTTAAGGTGATGCCTATTCACCCACCACTCCATCACATTATCACTATAAACCCGACAATTAAGGACTAACAAGCACCTACATCCATCCATAAGAGCATCCGGTATACATCCGACCGTAGCACAGCTCCGTTCCCGCCACTCAGCACCCACAATCCTGTTTCCATAAAAAAAAGCTATAAACACTCAACAGACGGATACAATACCCGTTGCGTAAGTAGTGTATATTGGCATTGTCTACGAAACACGAACCAGAATAACAGTATACCACCTGACCATTCTCCGCACTAGAACGGGCAAGTCAGCCGAACCCCTGCTGCGGATAGGCAGCTGCAGTACCTACTCTAGTAAGCGCTGTTCCAACTTTAACTTTGTGCGTCGGTTGAGAGCGATGATGTTGATGCTTACAGTAGTAACAGGTTTATTATGATTAACCTGCTAAAGGGGCAGGCAAGGCACATCCCAACACACTAATGTCAGTCTAAAGTGGTAGAATGGAGGGATTGACAAAGGTGTTGACTGACCACTCAGGCCCTGGTTATAACTAACGCACGGCCCTGATTCGTAGCCTGCATGAGATGATGAGAATTGAATCCGATTCCAGGAAGTTCGGTGGGGCTCTATGATCTTTGCTTCGCAGATAGATACTCCTTATGGGTGTGTGCTAGCTAGTATGTTGAGGTAGCATGTGTATGCAGTGTGGTAGTATTTGAGTGAGGGAGTGAGAGGAAGCTATCTACTATTTACCCTATAGGGCATTTCTACCTACCACACAACACAACCATTTCTACTTATCACTTCAGACAAAGTGTCAGACTAGAACAAAGACACCAAACTGTAAATATTATCCCAGAATAGAATACAATATCAACGAACGTAGATATGTAGAGTGACCCTGATGGGAACAAATGTATACATCAGAAACCCCGATTCGTACATGTAGACCAACTTTTTCTGTCGCATCAATCCAATTACCTATTCAGGTAGTTACCTAGTTACTTACTGCTTATGGTGACCTACCTAACACTTAGTTACCTAGCGAGCCGCTTGTTTTCTCGATTGCCTGCATAAAGCGGGCACAGTATCCCCCCATGTCTCCACTCTAGTTAGTGTAATTTCTCTGTCGCTGCTCTGTTGTACACAGTACATACACAAAATGCTCTGAGAGAACCAGAATGTACTGTTTCTTTTTATTGATAGATAACCAATATCTCCCTTTATCTCTCCTCATCTTGATATAAGAAATCAACCTGAAAAGAACAACGAAATAAACAAGAAAAAAAATCAAACAACCAAAACAACCCATATCCTCAATAGTAATGTTTCATCCCACCCATCCCACACACACACCCACCCATACAACAACAATACAAACAACATCCATCCATCCATACACAGCCCCATCTCATCCCATGCCCGTCCCATCCATCCCATGCCCATCCCCAATCCACCGATCAATCCACCAAAGCAAAACACTAAGTACTAACTAACCCAACAATTGCGGGGAACAAAATTTAAAAACCGTCTGAGCAGTAGCCAATAACATCGCCCATCAAAGAACACTTATTCAGCCAAGCACACAGCCTTTCAGCCAATCATTGTGCAGAAGTTGCCAATCGTCTGGGTTTTGCTCTCTCCAGCTACCACGGGCATCCCCCGGTTTCCCCCTTCTTCAGAATGAATGATGTGACCTTTTTTTCTCTCTCTTCTTGACTGTTAGGTAGTAGGTACCTAATACTAGTTAGGAGGTGTATGTGTGATCTGATCCGTTTCTCGGAGGCGCCGGTCGGCCGGTCGGTCGGTCGGTCTGTCTGTCGGCCGACCGAGGGAAGATGGTGTGTCTTTGACCCACTATTTACTACTTACTGACTTGCTTGCTTGCTTACTACGTACAGTGGGTGGATGGGAGTACTATTATGTGTCGCGCGGTTGGGTACTGATGGTACCAAGATCTGATGATGATACTGTGCAGTTGGTTATTGATTAGTGAGACATGAGTAAGTATGTGAAGTTCACTTACTACAGTAGAACTGTAAGTAGGTGATGTATGTATTCTATGTAGAGACATCCATTCCTTAAGCTTCTACTACTACTTTTGAACAAAAGCACACACATACATACACAAATACCTACATCTCTACGTATGTACCAACACTCAAAGTCCTATATCATCACATACATACATCAATACATACATACACACAGTATGACTCACTCCACTCCACTCTTCTCTTCCCTCTTCTAACTAACAACTTCCCGCAAGCAACACAACAAATCAAAAAACAAAGTAAGAGTGCCTAATATACACCCACCCATACACATCCCCGAACCAATAATCCCTCTATAGTAAAAAACCCCGTAACTTGGGCAGCAACTCATCTCGAATAGAAACCAAAAGTACCATTATAGCTAACTTTCCATCCGGTTTTTATTTGCTTTTCTGCATGGGGTCAGTAATGTTGTTGTCTTATGGAAGGTGGAAGAAGGTTCGTTCTGGACACCTTACTAGTTAGTTAGTCAGTTAGTAGCTAGCTGGGCAGCGAGCCGGCTGCTTCTGCTGCCGCTGTGGTGGTGGCTTGGTGGCTTGGATGGCTGCTGAGTAGTTCGTTGGATAGTTGGTACAGAGTAAGTGGGTAGGTAGGGTGTCACCTGATGGTGATGGGTATGCCATGTCTTGGCGGGAAGGATTGCGGTGGTGATGGTGATGTTTAGGTTTGGACTGGAATGGGCTTTCTATTTCTAATAGTTTTGTACTTTGACTGCCTTGTTCTTTTGGTGGATGTCTTATGATGATGATGGGTGATTTGGGATAGTATCACGTGATATAACTGACTTTGATGTTGCTTTATGTCCATCTCATTAGCTGCAGAGATGAGAGTTCTAGATGTTATCTTTGGATGTCACTAGAGTAGCTATAATGATATGCTACAGAGCTTATACACAGAATGGTCCCCAGTAAATAGCATATCATTAGTCAAACATACAAACGCAAACACATCTGAGTATTATATAGCAGAATCCCGACGTTGTCTCAGAGCAAGAACAAGCGATGCACCATTATTTAAATGCCCTTTAGCACCGAGTACGCTCCTAGTCTTTCCTTGCTGAGCAGGCTCGCGACGTGACCTAAGAGCAAGCCGGAGCGATGAAACATCGCTCAGCTGCTCTTTCGTATCCGATGTATCCGTATGATTCCCTGCACGAGCAGTTAGAATCGTCACAATAAATCGACAATCAAGCAGAATTCCATTAAAGCACTCAAAACAAAAATACTTCATAGTCAAACAAACCAGGATCAACATCAGGCTGATTTGAGTCATCGTCATCGTCACTATCACTCTGAGCGAGAGGTTGATTCACGAACCCAAACGAACTAGGGACAGTCCCGGTCTGAGCAGTCAAGATGACGAACTACTCGAATCATCCTCAGCCAGATCAGGGACATAAGTCTCATCATCACTATCAGTCTCGTCAGACAGTGAATCATCATGATCAGACCCAGAAGAACCCGGACGAACAGCACCATCCCCATCGCAATCAGAACTGACGGCATCCGAAACGGAAGACTCATCCACATCTCCATCCGCCAAAAAGTCCTGCTCAACAAAATCTAACTCACTTTCAGACCCAGACTCAAACCCAGGATCATACCCGGGACTAGGAGCATGTCTCCTCAACCCGCGCCGAAAAGTACGAAAGTACCTTTTCAGCATACACTCATTATTCGCGACCCAGTTTCTGCCCATCTTCTTGATATACCCCTCGTCAGTATGACTCCCTCGGAACCACGCCTGTTTCTCTTCATCGATGATAAGTCCCATGATCACCTTCGAGGACATCTTACTCCTGTTGCGATGCCAGGATATTCGCAAGGCCTCTTTGCATGCTTCCTCGTGGGAGGAATGGCCGTATACGATGATTAGACAGAGGTATCGCGTTTTCCGGTTGGTGTGGTCCCGGAAGTAGAGCTTCTGCGCTTGAAAGAGCTTTTCGCCATTGCTGTCGCTCTCTTTTTCGGGGTTTGGGCTGGCTTCGAAGGGTTCGAATTCGTAGCTCTCGTTTTTGCTGCGTGGGAAGTATCGTTTGAGATTGAGGGGTATGATTGGCCAGATGGGCTCGATGGACTGGATGATTTTGTTGAGCTCGATGGGTGTGTTGGGCTCGGTGGGTTGGTTGCATTCATCTGGCTTTTCACACTCCATTGTGTGGTTGGAGTCGTTGGACATTGTGAATGCTGTGGTTGAATAGAGAGGGCATGAGGCAACTCGGACAGATTGGTGGGAGTACACTATGGAAATGCGTTGGTCCTTTTATCTGTTTTCGTAACTAACATTTCTGCAGTTATGTTTCTAGGGATATTTCGGGGATATCATGGAACGTCGGTTTCCCTTCGATAGAGGCAGGTAGCACTGCTTCTATTCTCTATATAGTTTCTTTCCGCATGCATTATAAGGCCTACGCGGTATATACCACTCGTAAGGTATCGGATACTCATTTGAGGGGAATGCAATCAATAACAAATGGAAGGCTGAAAGGCTACATTATAGAAGTGTGACCTGGGAGAAACTGCAGTTCTTTGTTTGTGCTCAAATATTACTATATAAATGAAGGCTGGATTCATCGAGTAATCATCGGGATTCTCCAAATAATTAACGGGAGCAGGTATAATGATTCTAATCTGCCGCTATTATCCATCCATTACATATTATCTTATTGTGGTTTCTAAAAGAAAGTTTTCTACGTCTGGTAGGGCTTACAAATGAATATCTGTCACTATATTACGTACAATTATCCCAGTCACTGTAGTATTGCTTTAAATCTTACTGAACCACGCACTATAACAACTACCCCGAACTAACACTTCTTCTATACTGGTATCATAAGCTGATTCAAATCTTATGACTGGCAAAATGCGGAAGCTTCCATCCTAGTTCTTGTCGGTGGTCTTCCCAGATGTTCATTAGAAACAGGAGAGCTGTAACATGGCATGAAGACCATGTATGCATATAGAACCAAGTTTGTATATGGGCCACTATTGCTTGGCAAGTCCTGCCCTGTTCTATAAGCATCGTCCCTTTTGGCCTCGTGATTGTGGCCCGTTCCCAGATCGAATGATCGGCGCACATCATAGCCGGTGCAAACAAGACAGGCAGATTCTTCTTTGCTAACGTCTTCAATATTCCCTTGCTCGGTAGGGGGCAGAACCCTCCTTCTAGTGTAGCAGACCTCCCTGGGTGTCTTGGCGCCAATCCATTCGTACGTGGGCCGGCGCGTACATAAAGCAGGAGATCTCGTCCTTCTTGACATCATGGTCTGTTATGTCTGGTTTATCCAGTGTCGGTTCGGGTGTGAACTTGCGGTGACATTTAGGTTCGGAAGATGAAGGTGCGTCCGCATACTACCAGCCATGGCATCTGTCCTTTGTTGGGGTGTCGGTACTCTTTGCCTTTGATATATCATGGGCCTTCCGGAACGCCGAGACGTCCACTCCGTGTTCTTTCTCAAATTGCCTAACGGCCACCCAGAGTTCTTGCGGAGCATCACAGTAGCACTTACGTAGTACGTAGCAAAGGCCACCGACGTACCGTTCGAGAGCTCGGATACGAACACTGAGGTTCAAAGTCTCACTTAATGTGTTGTTTAGTACGACTTTTTCGGCTTCCCACTCAGGGACGTCGGCGTCGATACTTGTAAGCGTGGCGTCAAAGAAATGGCGTAGCGATTTCAGGCCAGTCAGATATTGAGTTGTGAGAAGATCGTATTGCAGATCAATAAAGTTGTCTGGCAAGGAGTCAAGGTGGGTGTAGTCGTCGCTCATTGAGAGTATGGGTTCAGGTAGTGTGGCTTCAGGTAAAAGGTGAGACTTCACGTAGGCGACGAAGCTAAGAGATGTAGTAGGAACGAAGTAAACGATTACAGTAGTGTAAGCAGCGAACCAAAAGAAAGGTAGAGAGAAAAGGAAACGACGAAACGCGTTGGTAGGGAGAGTGGAGTGAGGTAGGCGGTTGAGATGAGGTGTTGGTGCTGGATTGAGTGTCACAACGGTGAGCGGCACATCCTCTTCGACCTGTTGGCGGGATATACCCCATTTGCCTCGTGGGAACGCAGAGAGACTTTTTAGAGAATCTTTCAGTCTTCAAATTCGAGTCCTCTCTAGGATGTATAGAATCCCGCATGTTCTCCTCACCCGCTGCACCAGGAGATCCTTCCGGATATGTTGGAGTCGCATAACCTGTGTGACAGTGTCCAATGGGACGATGTAGCTTGGATCTATCTCTGCTCGTTAGAACCGCTCACCCGACTGAGAGATTTTGGACCATGCTGTTGATATATCCAGAGCCCACCAGCTCACATATCGGTGTCTAACTCTGGCTATCATTCAAGTCTACAGGGTATGCAATTGTCATAGAAGCAGATTGCTTATCTTGCAATTGTCCATCTGTTGTTGACTGGAATATTGGAAATCTTGGAAGATCCATATCTTGAAAGACGTCCAACGCCGGACAGATCTGATAATAAAGACTTGGAGGCACTCCGTTACTGGAGAATGAAGGCATGTCTATCGTCAAATTCGGTGACAGGACGAGCTCCGGTAAGAATACATAACTGTACTACCAGACTGTGCCACTCAATATCTTCGACGGGCTTCAGACAGAGAAATCTCCGCGTCAGATGGTTGCAAATTAGCCTTCATCAAAGTATATAGAAGTGCTGCTCGACTGGGCGCATACACTTCGTGCAACATGAGGCTTCCTTTCTTATTATGATCCGCTAAGTACAGCTAATCCCCAACATATGCAGCGATAGCGTGCAATATGCAATACATTCATGCATTTGACACTGTGCCTTGGGAGCGAGATGTCCCATTCCTGGTGCTGCATGCGCCTTGATCCGAGGCGTTGGATGCACAATCTGGTCTAATTGAAAGAGACGAAAGACGTATAGAAGCGTGTGTTTATTTGTATGTGTCTGATCATGAATATCATCTAAATACATGCAGTAAAACGGGTGAAGAAGATGATGTGTTCGAAACCCCCTCCCAAAGGGGGAGGTGCCCGTGGCACCTGGGTTGTCTGCATGATGATGGGCAGACACTAATGGCCATGTTTGCTCACCCTGAGTACAGTTAAAAAGACCGGATGGCGTTCATGACTAGCCCTGCTAGCATGCCCAGATTGCAGAACTGTTATCGAGTATCCCAGTGGGAAATCTTTCCATCTGATTACTTTGGAAGATACAAGGCTTTATTTGGCCAAAGACAATTTTGATGTCTCACCTGGCGCTTCGGAGAGCACGCGAACCAGCTCAGAGACAACAACTTCAGTGAAGCATACGATATCTTCGCCCCCGCCAGGGATTTAGCACCCCGGCAACTTTTCGATCCATCTGGGGGACGATTCGGTGGTTGAGCCCCTCGCAGTGCCTCTCCAACAGCAGCAAAGTACGCAAGAGGACCACCATTGCCCGTTTTCATCCCGCTGCGTCCATATGCAGCAAGAACTCTGATGAATGGTCAAGAGGGTTGAAATTCCTGTGATTTGAATTGGACACAGTAACTGGTATAGAAGGACTGTTATCCTACCAGGCATTTAACATTTAGCGATCTTATATGCTTTTGCTGAACTCTGAGTAGACTGCTTGCTATGCTATAGTTTCAATCTTTCTCTTCTTCACAGCAATCGACGTGCCAGGACCAGATCCTATTGTCGTGTCAGTTCTGGCTTGACGCTATGAGTTATTATACTATACCCACAGGCTTTCAAAGATATTGCTACTTTGAAGGCATTAGTTGAAGCCTCTAGTAATTGATAAACTGTAAAAAACAAATGCAGTTGTCTGGCTTTCGGATCATTGATTCGAGACGTTCCATGTCGGCGAGCCATGGGGGTGCGGTGGCAGCAGCAGCAGCAGCAGAATCAACAAACCCCTGCTTTATTTTATACTCTTTTTTATCACTCGAGTTTCTAATCACCGAGGTTCTCTCCGGAATGTAGAGCTCTGTCGACGACAGCTTGATATTCAACCTTGGCTAACTCAGCCCATCGTCAGAACCAAGGACCAAATTCATTGTAGAGCGGCCGAAGCTTCTGTACCTTTAGCGACTGGTATTTAGTTGGAGCAGATTCAGGACGGTAGACATTTTGCTTAGAATAGATAGAAGATGATGGTATCTTCTGCACTCTGTTTCCAGGGTAGGCTGGACGACATCTGAAGATTTCTTGTCCACATTGTCAGGGGCAATCTAGTCATCCTACTTTGAGGAGTTCTGTACATGGCCCCATGCTTATGGTTTGTATGTGCAAGAATGTTTAAGATTCTCGGCAAGGATCGACCTGAGTGTTAATATAAGAATGGGGATGATAGTACTGCATTCTGAGCACGAATATTTGCAATTGAAAGCCAGTGACAAGCTGAATGTCACGGTCAAACATCACCTGCATTGTATATTCAATCCTTAGGGGTATTTATGTCTTCTATCTCTGTAGGACATATCATGCTCATTCATGTGTGTATCATTTGCCTGTAGGTTGTGAGGTACCCGTAGATTGGTTGTATGCTTTTTAAAGAGGAGATGACATTCTCGAAGAGAAACAACGCTATCGGCCGCAGTTTAGTGACGAAGCTATGCTTCTTCATTGGTCGTGATGCGGACAAGAGAATACGCTGCGTCCAAATCCTCAGGAACTCTAACAAAGTACTTCTTTGTAATATATTCGGCAAGAGTAGTGGTAGTTGTCCTAGTGGCGTGCCCTATCTCAAGGGAACGCACAGTGGTAGCTCTACCACACGTATGGGAACTCGTCATCCCCTTTTTCGCTATTGTGGGTGTCTTGGAAAAGCCAGAGAAGCAAGATACAACCAGGGTATGTCAGGAGAAGTCTAAGAAATTAGCAGATATCAAGATAGTACTGCCTTTATGTTGCATCGGCAATGCACAAGACCAGCGAAGACTATTGTAGAGTCTTCGTCATTATTCCCAAGCATCAAGGCCGTGACTTTGTCTCAGAGCAATAGCTGTCGGTGGGTTTATCCTGGCCTGACCATGATTGATCCCAATAAAGATCAGGTTGATAGAATATAGACACGCCCAAATTGTATTTCGTCGACCAGAATGGCCAGCTCATAGATGAGCTGTGCACGGTATGGGGATATTAATTCTGCTCACCAATGGTAAATCTCCCCCGATAGAATGTACGCAGGTGGTTTCTGTCCAGATCTTTCTCCTCCTGGCACGTCACAGTATATGCAAAACGAAGATAGACATCTACCATATCTCCATGGCAGGAACCTAATGTTAATGTGGAAGCTGTTGCATCATTTGAGATCGGCTTAGTTTCAGTGCCATTTCATGGTCCCCTTCCCTACTTGCCCTTGCCAGCCAAGTTGAGGAAAAGGGCATCCATCTTCGCTGGTACATATTATCATCTAGCTTCATGAATCACTGTCTATCATAAGGTTTGATTTGGAACAGTAGGACCATGGTGATAGCAAATCCTCCTCTGGTATAGATATATATGTCCGGGTAGGGGTTTTGCTGTATTTGTCGTCAAGATACAAGTAAGTTATCTATCGTTAGCGCTAAGCCGGTGCACATCATTGTCATCAGGTGAAATAACTTAGGATAATCCGGTAGATAGACAGGAAATAGATTATCGTAGTAGACACCAGGGAATGGCCTAAATAGGTTGGGCATAATGGGCTATGTATGCTAGATGTATACTACCATGGCTTAGTTGAGTTTACTACATAGAGTAGCTCTTATGAAATCAGTAATTAGTAGATGTAAAAAGGAAGAATCGGAAGAAGATAAGAAACAAGATACTTATATATCCTTGACCAGAAACGTGAATTATCCCCTCCACCTTCACCTACACCATGATCAATGTCCAACATATTCATCCTCAAGATTGAATACCCACCAACCCTACTTCCATATTCCCAACCGACCAAGCAAAAGCAATCTCCTCTCCACCTAGCCATCAGCAGAAGACAGAACAACAAAAAGCAAAGATACACACACACACACTTCACTTCAACTCCGCACTCCCTAGCCCAGATGCCAACACATCACCCACCTCCCAACACATCTCACATCTTGCCTGTCATCTCCACCTCCGATCGTCATCTGAGTACTTACTGTACAGATCATCCCAGCCCCTCCATGCCGACAGATAAACCAAAAAAAAAAACAAACAGGTCAGTACTAAGATACGATACTCCGATGGAAGCTTCTCTCCCATTCCGTATGTGCAAGCCAGGAACGATTTTCATACATATGACAAGGAACACTGCATTGCATGCATGTACATACGTAAAGTTCTACTATATGCAGGGCTGCAAGAGTTTCTTATCATCATCGCCAGGAAATTAATTCTGTTTTTCTTGGATATGTAGATACGGATATTGATCTTCATTGCTATTTTAGATCTTGAGTGTTGATGCGTACATGTCATTGTAATTAGTTTAATATGTTATGGTATTACGGTTACATATGTAGTAGTTATTTAGTCAGTTAGTTACTCATTGGGATTTGGACGAGGTGGTGATATATACATACATGGTAGTAAGACAGACATGGTAGTAGGCTAAGCATGGATGGATGGATAGTAATGGATCAGTAGCTGGACTGCAGAAGGCCCTCAACCCTGCCAAACGAACGAGATGCTTTCAGCTGTGGACAAGGTCGGTGCGCTGAGCGATGGCATGATGGCCCATGTCAGGTTGGCCAGGCTGATGCTTCATGCCGTGCCAGGTTTGACAGCGTTGGATACAGTACAGACTGTTGTGTCAGTCACTTAAGCAGTTGTCAGTTACATTAGTCGGCTGGAGTGAAATTCAATAGAAAGAGTAGGCGTAGAGATAAGATTGTGGCATTACTGGTTGCTATTTTGCCCACTGGACTGGAGGATATATAAAACAATCTTGGTCTGGTGTACGACTACAACTACAAGTAGGTTGAGTTCGAATTCCGATCTGTTGTATTCAGGGCGTATCATCGCAGCCCAACCGCCGGTCGTGACCGAACCCAATGCAATTATCAACATCAATGCAGCACACCAAATCACTCAAAACATTTAGAAAAAGACCCCACCCATGCTGAATAGCAATGCTCCTCTTGTACAACGCCGATCCAGTTCAAGCCTGCCTGGGACCAACGGATCAAAGCAAACCCAGGGAATAAACCACACAAGTGTCGTAAACGTGACCATTCCAATCTGAACAGTATCAAACCAAGGCAATATGCTAATTCGTATACAACAGAGAAAAAAAAAAGAGAATAAAAGAAGAGATCGACAGCATGAGGATCTAACTTCGTCAAATAGAACTGAAAATGCCTCCAACAGACTATGCGGTGAACACCCGGTCCAATTGCCGCAGTGCGCGCATGTCTTCTCCTCCGAACCCGATCTTTTCGCTGGGAATGTCTCGGGGTCCCTCGGCGCGTCCTGCGGCCGGGGCTGGGGGAGCGGCGATCGACGGCAATCCACCAGAAGGCGTGCCGTTCATCAGCGCACCGATGCTGGGCACGGTGGTGCCGGTGCTGGCTTCCAGTGGCTTGGGCGCCATCGTGCTCGGCGGAGGAATTTGTACGCTACTGGACGGTGGCTGACTGATAAGCTGGGGACTGCGCGCAATCGATGGGATGCCGTTGCTGTGCGGCATATGATGTGGCTGTGTGCGGGGTGACGATCTCGCAATCTCGCGAGGTGGGCCAAGCTCCGGTGGACTCGGGCGGTGGTGAAGAAGCTCGTGCGCTCCGGGCGGCACTCGTGGTGACCGGCTTGCAAGCACCTGCACGCTCGACGGTTGATGGAGAGATGGCGCCATCGTAACTTCAGCTACATGCACCGGCCGCTCGTGGTATGCCGGCAATCCCGGTGGTTGCGGAGGCGGCAAGGGCGTACCAGGTGGCACGGCAGCCTGATGGCCATATGGTATTTGACCATTGGGCTGGGACACTGACGGAAGGTAAGATGGATAGTGGACGGGAACAGGCGGAGTAGCCAGCGGAGTCGGAGGCCATGTATATGAAGGAGTGTATGGCGCCGGGTGTGCAGCCGGAGAGCGCCCATAGGGTGCCATAGGATGAGGAGGCACATATGCGGCACCGGCCATAGGACCACGGGTCACAACGGGAAGATTCTGTTGATCGTTTACAGTAGACTCCGGATAAAGCCCCTTTTGAGGACGCACATGTCGCAAATTGGGGTCTGTCGACGGTTGTTGAAGGTTGGCCGCAGACGGATGTGACCTCGAGTAGTAGCTGATCAGATGGAGGTGCTGACCGGTAGATGTCGTAATGCTGAAGGACTGTTTCATCAAACCATCAGGCTTGTAGCGGTAGCCGTCCGGCCCTTCGTCTGCGCCATCTCCACGGTCGTCGTCACTGCCTCGTGTGCTTTCTGGTGTTTTACCAGCTCTCGACATCGTCGTCTGAGCAACACCGGTTCCTCCCCGTTTGCCTTCCATCTCGCGATATGTTAAGAAGCTTCCCGATACGCGACTGGCACTCCATGACTTGCCATCGGTCCATCTTCGCATGCCCGCTTCGCGTTCATCCCAGACAAAGACTGACCCGGAACGAATTAATTGACGTTCCTTCTCGGATAAACGTCTCTGTACGCGGGGAAGAAGGCCAATGCGACAAGCTTCGAAGAGGATGATAGCGTCCGCAGGAGTGCGGACGTGCCCGTGATACGTCTCCATCCACCTTCGGTGATCTGTATAGGTCCCCGTGATGACTGTTGGTTTAAGCGCTAGGACCGGGGGTTTCGTAGGGTGAAAAATGTTGAAAGATGTGCCGGAATGCAGGCAATCTGATGAGGTCGGAAGTCGAACAACGGCTCTTCGGTAGCCGTTCAACAAACACCGTTCAAGCGTGCGATATTCCCGGAACAGGAAACAAAAGGCCAAGCTTCAAGAGAAGGTGAGAGATGAGCAGGTGCTGTGAAGAACCCACTGCGGAAAATAATCTGAAGGGTCAAGAAACAACATTAATTTCCCATCTATGTGATTGAAGAATGGATAGGGTGGAGGAGTGGAGTGGGAGGGGAGGGGGGGGAGAGAACAGAGGGGATGGAATGTAAAGAAACCAGGGCAGCAAGGAAGGGGATAGGAAACAAGGAGTGGGGAGGGACTGATAGGAGAATAAAGAAGAATGCAGGCAGGCGGAGGTTGAGCGTTATACAAACGCTGAGACAAGGGGAGCTACGACATGCAAAGGCCGAGCAGGTACAGGCAAGACTTACCGTGGCGGAAGGTAGCGCGTTGTAGTCGCAGTTAAAACCGATCTTGGATGCAGCAAGGCGGGCGACGAACTGTTTAGTGGGCGATGATAGTATGGTAACCGTCAACACCAAGTACTATACTTGGTAGACTCAGTTATAGCAGCAGTAGATGGGGAATGGTTGAAGGTCGCAAGTTGCAGCAAGTCGCAGTAGAAAGAGAAGAAGGGGAGAGGGATCGTGGTAGTAATAATAAGAATAATAATCCAGCTACTTGAAAGACTACTAAACTAAACTAATCGGAACCCGAATAAAAAAAAATATTATTATTATTATTATAATAATAAAAAAATAAATAATAATAATGACAAAAAAGGGAAAAGTAAAAAAGAAAAAGAATAATGCTTACTCGAAGAATTAGCATTAGAGATAGGGTGGGGAACCGACTTAACTCTGAACCCCACAAGGTCAAGCAGTGATTTTTATTGAAAGACCATGTAATAATAAATTAAATTAGGTGATGGGAGTTTCCTTTTTGTGCAGGGTGGGAGTGACTAAGACTGGCGTATGTATTTGATTAAAAACCAATTTAGCGAACAGCTCCCGGAAAAAGAATTCTCATGACCATTATCCTGATTATTGATGTTTTCTTTTTCTTTTTTAATCTGTTGTATTATTATTATTTCCTCATTTATTCTCATTCCATTAGTGGTTCTCTTTCCTCTGACAATACACCTTTTCAGCACAGCAGACAAGACAAGTGAAGGTCAGAGGACTAAATGCTTGGGCCTCTCTCTAGGCGCTGGCCATACCGAGAATCAACCAGACGAAAGAAACGACCCCCCCGAAAAAGTGGGTAAATAGGAGCCGGCTGCAGCAAATGATCTCATCCGACTGATATTTAGTTGCTGGATTCATCACAAACAAATAGAACCTTGTTTTTAACCTTTTCTTTTTCGCCTGATGATTATCCATGGTTCTGGGGAGCGAGGCTGGCTGGTGTGGGCACCGGTGGAGGCTTCGGTTCTTCTTTTCTCTTTCTTTCTCTCTTCTGCTGCTGGACCTTTCTATGGGGCTTAAGATTACTCCGTTTGTGTCTTACGGATGATTGTTACCATATACTTACCAGGTCAGATCCGGTCAATCTCACTTGTAAGAAAGGGATTTAATTATAGCCGAGCGTGTCCACCTTCTCCCCCCTCCCCCTCCCTCCTTATCTAAGAAACAAAGAATAGTAATCAACTGAGTGTGATCGCACCAGGGTGAATAATGAGATATGAACAAAAGGGGGGCGCGCGGAGGGAGGGGTGGGAGAGGGGAGGAAATAAAGAGACTTCCGGTGGTGGAGTCTAAACTAAGCTTAGCGATGTGCCCGGTATGACTATCAAGTATGGGACTTGGAGCACAACATGAATAGTTAAGGTGACGCCTTTATACATCGGTATACAGATGGAGTAACTGTTTACATACTAGGTGTACATGATGGGTGACACAAGCTCCTGCTTACAGGGCTGGAGGATTCCCACATACCAGATGTTCATTCCGCAGCAAGCATGCTGCACACTGATTGAGCTTCCCGTCCGTATCATGACGACGGAAGGATACCATGATAGTCGTGGCGGCCCTCCTTACGCAGTTTGGCTTCTCCGGTGACAGTCGATCGACCATATCTTGACCGGTCTGCTGCTTGGAGGCTTGGAGGTTTCTTGGCTCCAGTAAAACCCATGATTCAGAAAATTGAGAATATTCTCAGTAATCAAACAGGGAAAGGCCAAGAATATTACCGTATTACACTAGGAAGATACCAGTGGCGCTCTGATCGCTTGCTACCAACCGGAAATTGATTAGTGCGCGACTTTCTGAAGCTTAAGCTTAATCCAACACGAGGAACCTTAAGCTCGCTTAGAAGAGAGACATGGCCCCCTCCTCCTCCACTGTGGCTGGGGTTCCACTTGTTCCATGGTCGCTTTTATTAGTCTCTTGGGTTTTATGTTTGAATTTCTCATAATTATGCCCGGATATCCGGCGTGTGCACAATATTAATAAAAGTAAAACCTTTTTTCCGTTTTGCCAGCTCCATCCGAGCCTGTGTCTTGATTTGGACCCCTACGCAATCGCCAATCACTCAACTGGGTTGTGGGTGGTGGCCATCATCATCAAAACCTTTACGGCATTTCTCGTGTTCATCTGATCTCTCTTTGATGGCCCTCCGTATCGTCTAGAAGAACTTTAGCACAGACCTTGTTCCATGCCCCCGATTCGTAATCGGTATCGGACGGGGAATACGATACGCTTTTTTCTTTTATGATTATTTAGGGTTAGACTATCCCCGGGTTACGCAGCGGTTCCGCCCGAAAGTGACCCTTTCGGGCCAAGACTGACGACATTTTCTCCCATGTAGGCTCGCCTGTCTTTGCCGTTTTGCCGTTGTTTAGGCTTCGTGACTGGATTTTCGGGTCCGTTTATTTAACTTTGTACTTTTCACATTTTATTCCCTTTCCGCTGATATTCTTGACTCGTTAATTCCGTGCTCTCGGACTTTCGGCTTCTCGGCAGATGACAACAGCCACTGTGGCGATTCGTACTCGAATCGGGGCGAGCACCTGATCCCGCATAGGGAATTTCTTTCCCCTCTGATTAGCAGTTTCTTTGTCGCCGCAGTTAAATTAGTCCTAATATAGTCAAAAGATAGTCAGTCGCAATATAGGCCCGATGTTGGTGATCTGGCTGGTCATGTTAAGCATTCTGACTAACGATTTTCTCGGACTCTAACTCCGGGTGGCATAACTTCCAACCTATCGTTGAACCCAGGCCCTCTCTCTCCATGCGTCTGAACACCTACCCTGGTCTCAAGCAGGGATCAACTGAGCATACCAATGATAAGCGCCAGGCAGACGTTAATTCTTTTTGCCTGCTAAATGCGCCCCCTTTCTCAGCTGAGAATTTATCCGCTGGACCAAACATCCAGGCATTCCCTGTGAAAAGCTTGACAAATCTTATCCGGGGTGATGGTTCGCATGACATACTGTCCGATAAGTATGATAGTGGGCCCTCCCTCTTTCTTCCCCCTCCTCAAAAACGCCTCTCTTTACTCAGGTAGGCAGGTCTTCAGCTCTGGGCGGCAAAGTGAAACCCAGCCAAAAGCAGAACAAGGAACTCCGACAGGCAAAGAGAAGAACGAAGAACTTTAAAAAAAAGCCAGCTTAGGATCAGTCATATGCAAATCAATCGGCCACGTAAGACCAGAACATAGCTGATCTGCTCGCGACTTATCATACTCCAATCAGCGAGCGTTACCTCCCCGGCGGCGCTTGACCGGGAAATTCGCGTCGCCCATAGTCCGGAGCTTATTGTCCAGTAACGTTGATTAGACTCGATAAAGTTGCGGGCGCAATTCAACCAGGATCGAGCTTTGTCCGTTGCTTCATTCTTTGCCTGAAATTACTCCGTACTTTAATTTAAATTGAAGGTTTGCCTTCTTCTCATTCCTTTGATCTAGTTGACTTCATTCCACATTGGCAAAGTTGATTAAATTAATACTATCAGCTTTGACGTGTTAGTATCCTGGTCTTGCACAGCCTTCTTCCATTACCATCCATCATCCACCGTTTCAGGCTTCAGTTTTTCCATTTTCTTATTACACCTTGGCGCTAATGGGGTCCATGATCGATTGGGATCGAAAATAACCACACTAAGAGAAAGTATCCGACCAAGCCGGCTAGGCTACTAAATTATTACATTTTCTTTTGCTTTATCACGATAGTGATTTCGATCGAATCGGAAAAATGAAATAATAATACTAACAGAAAAAGCAACGATAAAAAAAGAAACACATACTGAAACATGAATGAAAAGGGAAGTTTCAACCCATTCGGGCGCTTCCAAAGTGACTACTTATTCACAAACAACTTCAAAGTTAATGGGAATGTCAGAGAGGAGGGGGTGTGAGATAGATACGTTACAGCTTACAAGGGCCCAACCACAACTAACCAACTAACTAGTAGACTACTAAATACCAGCAGCGCCATCACCACTAACTCCTGGAACTATAGCGTAGCCGTACTACCGACTAGCGTTCAGGATAAGCGTATCGCCAACAAAGTCGGTCGCATCCTGGCCGGTTTTCTTGGCCCTCCTTGGCTGGCCCACATCAGGATGCGTAAATTATTCGGGCCAAGCGATTCTGGCGGGGAGGTGTGGTCAGGAGTTGCTGCTGACACTAAGCTATACTAGTACTTACAGGGCTGGGCTGGGTTGCAGCTGATGTCTCACATGGGGCAAATAGGAGATAAAAGAAAACAAGACTTTCTTCGATGAAGGATGCGACTGTTGTTATTAATTTAGATTAATTTTTCGATGACCCCCATCCGGTGCAAGGTACGGCGTATCACACTTCACAAGGCAGTTGGCGTAGTAAGTCAGTAAGAATGTAGTAAAGTTGTGCAGGCTGATGTTATACTTGGATTATGAAGGACCTGTCTACATTATCAAACTAGAATTTACCAGTTGCAGTAGTACTGTGTGTATGTTTGGGGCCAAAGTGTGGTCTCCTTAATTACTTATTCACGCAACAAGTTGTTCGGTAACACTTATACTACCTTGCAGGAATGACAAACCCATCCAAGTCACGAACCGGTGGTATGTAGATTAGTTTGGTACTAGGTAGCTAGCTTGCTGCACCTTGTGTTCAGTGCTACAACAACCCAAGTATGGGATAGGATTAGTTTACAAAATGTAATGTGTGTACACCCTGCCATCATGTTGTGGGACTCACACTAATGTATGTTCTCCGTCTGGATGCTCAAACTCCTACTTTAGCGAAGTAGTAGGGTGTCACTCACTCACATTGCTAGATCCAACGCAACACCCGATTTGATTTCCGACGTCTCCCATCTCACTCTGGCGCCTATGGCGGACAATAGCTATAGCACCTACATATCACCTGCATAGCCTTGTTTTTTGGACTTGCTCGCCCCTCTTCTGCTTTCCTTCTTTACTTTTCTTTCTGTCTCTCCACCCATGTATGCAAGGCGATGCGGAGAGTCTGGAGTACCACCATACCTATCTGAAAATAGATCAGCGGGTGTGTATGTATGTACACACTTACCTACATCCATCCAGTCATTCATACATTGTGAACAGATCGTCTTCCCTTGGGCTGGCTGGAGGATTAGTGCAGCGAACCTGTCGATATTTTGTTAAACAATGATGTCAGAAGGCAGAAGAATGTTATTATTCTTATGCTTTTACTATTTGTTTTTACTTTTTCTTCTTTTCCTTTTCTTCACACTCTTAAAGCGGTATTTGCCCGTACCACTGGAACCTGCCTCCCTCCTCCCTCACTCATGCAACTGACGATCACAGTAGTCCGGGGAGACCGTCTAGATACACAGAGAACAAGAGTTCCCACATATCTAAGTTAAGTATGCGTATGGAACCAAACAACAAACGCTCCCCCCTTCCTCTCCCCCCCTCCCCACCCAACGTGTCACGGACAGTTAGTTGGCGATACAATCAAGCTTTTTCGCCTCCCAGGCGAGGGATATTAACCGTGTGTGTGTAATGTGAACAAGAAACCTTGTTTATGGTCATACCCAAGGTACCATGACACCTTAAAGTGTGTGAGTCGACTGAACCTCATTCTCCATCTGCGACCAATCGGACTTTGAGCGTGACTCACAAAGCCCAAAGACTAGACTAGACTAAATAACTAGTGTGGATTGTTTCACTGATCTACTGTGACTGATTCCATAATTTTCGGAGAGGATGTGTGTGCCTGTGTTGCCTGCTATTCTATTTTCCAGTTGTCTGTGGTTCTTGCGTTTTAGTTACTCCGTCCGTGGGTTTAGCAGAACTGGACTATTTGCTGTAGAGGATGTATCTACTAGTGAAGTAAGTGAGTCGAGTAATATATATGTAGGTAGTGTGGTAGGGTAGTAGAAGGTTTCGCTGATCGGGGAGGAGCTCTAAAGTTAATTTTCCTTCCAGTTCGCCTTCGACTTACTTACCAGGCAAGCGAGGCACTGGGTGACACGGTTTGGATCGACCTGGAACCAGCAATACTATCCACGTAGGTTAGTACTAGGGACGCTATACGTTCCGGACAAATGCGCAATGGGTCGCTAATCATTGAGACCTGTCTGATTCAAAACTCTTCTATCTGTACTCTGTAGCCTTTTAAAGTTATCATACTTGTAGTAGCCTGTGTTAGGCAAACGCCTTTTCCGTACCTACTTAATCTATCTATTGTGTCTATCTATCTACTGTATGATACGGAAAATCAGTCAGTGTGATCAATACAAATATTTTAGTTTATTTATTTATTTAATTTTTTCTATTCTTCGTTTCTTTTATCTCCCCTGAGTTCCCTTGCATAAACTCACGTCACACAAGAACAAACTTGCTTTCTGGGAATTTTTGTGAGTCAAGATTTTTTATAGTTACCCGCTATCAATGTATGCATGTATGTATGTATGCCTGGATTTACTCCTTAGGCTACTACTACTACCTACTGTTTGGGCTCGGTTATGCTCCAATGCAACCCTTGATTCGGAAAAGGTTTCTGAAATGCCAAGGGGGTTAGAGGGTGTGTGTGCGTGTAAGTAAACAGAAACAGGAGAAGAGGAGCAGCCATTTTGTGAAACGTTGCACGGGCTTATCTCCACTAGCATAATTGGTTTAAGGTAGATTATTTTTCCTTTCTTTCTTACTGGGAGAAATGGTGGGTGGGAAAGATAGTAGTCAGGCTATTCATTCCATTCATCCGTGTTTTCTCAATAATTGCGAAAGTTGGGTTTGGCCGGTGTAATTTGTATGCATGTAAGAGATTGACGCTTTGATTCGTTTATTTTTTTACTTACTTTTTATTTGACAGTCGCGTAGTTAACTGTTTTGGATAATTAGATTAAGGTGTCATCGTGTTGGATGACGCGCTTGGACTTTGATGGTGGGCTTGTGGGTGGACGTGGGGGGGTGGCTGTATTTCATTTTATTTTATTCAGTGTTATTTCGCTTTAATCTAATTCAATGTAACTGATATGCAGGAATTTTTCCAGACAAGATGGAGCCTGTTGTTTGCTATTGCTATGGTAGTGGCAGTGGCATTTAGTTGTTGCTATTGCTGTTGCTGTCAGCTAGTATTTATTGACTTCTGTTGGTTGGTCTTGTAGTACTGCCATGTCAGTAAGCCTACTTTCATCGTCGCACTCGCAGATCAACTACCCGACGCAGACATTGCTGATGGAGATCATCACCCCTCCCTCCCTCTTCCTTCCCTCTCAAGTTGCATGAATGATCGATCATAGCCTGTTTGAATTAGGTTAAGGTACGGAGAAGATAAGGGTGTGTGCCTACAGCCTAGTCATATTTTGACTTACAGACAAGGGAAAGACAAACAGACTACCCGAACTGTGCGCACTTTTTCCTTTCTTCCAAGCCCCAAGCCCCAAGGCTGATAAGCCAAGACGAAGAAAAAATGAGCATAAATGGCTGGCTTACTTCAATAACTCCAAACCAAGCGTGCTCTAGGCGCCCACCGTTGCAGCCCTAGTCGGGCGACTATTGCTTAGTTAGTGTGAAGGCTTCCACACCCCCCTCCTCCTTGTCGCTCTCCATCCGCCACGCGAATGGAGATGAATTACCAGATTGGGAGATTTCCATGAGCGATTTGACTAATTGGCCGCCTCCGTGGCAGCGTATCAGACCTCCGTAGCCGAGGATCGCTATCCCTGACCAGGCCCAAGCGTCAAAGCGCTGCAGAGCCAAGCCATCCCCGCTGACTACTTCGTTTTGGTCCAGCAAAAGTCGATGTAACACGAGTTTTCCGACTGGACCCTCGATTACCAGATAGCCAAGGCTTAGCCTGTCCCTGTGGTCTAGTCTTTTACATGGTGTATGTACTAAGTATCAGTGTCCTATCTACTAAGTTACCTAATTGGTATTTCCCTGAGCACAGTAACTAATCCTTTTCATCCATTCACACACACCCTTTCTCCTTACACCCCTCAGCAAGAGTTCATCGTCTTACTTGAGTTATTTACTTACAAACACCCCCTTCCCTCATAGGGTATTGGAAATCAGCCTAATTTGAAAGCAATTTTTAGTTCGTGTCATATCAGATATGGCAAGGGAGACTGGCGGCTAACTCCGTCGTGGCCATCATCTAACCATCCATCTGATGTCGCCGAGCCACTGCAAATTTACTGGGCGGGCTATTTTTATTGATTCTCGCATCCTTCACCCTTTTTGTCCGGGAGTCGGCCATGGCAGCCGACCTGCCTTTTTCAATCTGAATCCGGTCCCCACGGAAATACCGGACCGATTATGTAATGACCACACCATAGTTGGTGCGTCGGGATTGAGGGCGCAAAACCACAGGAAGAGCAGAGAGCTGGACGAAGAAGTACAGGTGTCCTCATCTGAGTCAAGTTGCCGAGCAAGCCAGCCGATACGAGCGAGGGTCGCGTAGGCGATCCACGGTCCCCAGTCTAGGCAAAAAGGGCCAGAGGATCGATCATCAGTCGTCCATACTCCATCCATGTCAGTTTTACGCTCATACTCCGAAATAGTGCCCTGCTGGTCTGGCGCCGGACAAAGGCCGAGAGAATATGCTTAACACCAGTAAGGTTGGCAACTTGGCATTCGCCCCCCCGCGTGGTATTCCTCCGCAGTTTGACTAAAGGGAATACAAAGTAATACTGGCTACGTACGAAGTGCTCAGCAGGATTAAGCCCATCAGCCATGGGTTCCTTCCCCCCGTCTCCAAGACTTTGTTTTCCAACGCTTACATGACCACGACTGTTTTCAGTGGAAGTATATTAGTAACTATATTCCCTGAACTGGGGCATCCTTTATTCGAACGGACCCCCCCACGATGGATGCTGACCCTGTTCAGCGCTGTCTCGTGCCGATATTAAACGATCCATCCAGTCATTTCGCCTGTTCAGCCCAATAGTTAAAGCTTTCCGTCTGAAACCGCCCGACGACCCTTTTCTCTCGCGACCATCGTAAACGAAGTGGATCGCTGCCATCCTGATTTGGGCAACCGGCGTAGCGAGGCTCCGCCCAGACCGCAGCTTGGAGGGAATAAAGTATCCGTTCGGTGTGGACCCCATCCAGAATCCAGCGCCCAGGTAGGTCGGTTAGTTAGGCTTTCCCCCCTCTTCTTCCCTTCTGTTCCTGATTCCTGGGTACGGAGCACTAGGCAACGATTTCGATTGAAAGGGGACCCAACTGGCGCTTGAGGGTGTGGATGGTTTCACACCTATCCGCAGCTCCCGAATCCAATCATCCGCCACATCCCTGAGACGTGTAGGTAATCGCGGTGACCTTCCAGAAACCGAATCATCGACGAAGAATGGATTGAACTTCGGCGCGGAATAGAACATGCTTCCTCCGGATAGTCCGATACAGATCCACTTTGCGCAGATAATGTAGAGCTGAGCCCACTCTGTGTGCGTGTACTCAGTATGTGAGAGCATTCATGTCGGCAGCCGGACACACAAAGTTCTCCGTAAACAGAGAATTGTCAGTCGTTCCATGATCCATCAGATGGGGCCAAGGTTTTTGGCCCCTCTCTTCCTTTGATGATGATGACTTCTTTGAGCTAATTTGAGTTGCTGGGCGTTTCTTTCGCTTTCTTGTCTTTCTTCCTTACACACATTGGGTAATCTATGACAGTACAGACGGTATCGTAAAATTGACACGTGAGATCATGCCAGCAGGGCCTGCCATGGCAGTACCTCACCGCTATTCCCGCCGCTCCCCGTGTGTAGTCTGTGTTGTTCACGTGCCAATCGACCACAAACAAACAATCATCTTGGTGGTACATTCCAACAAGCCATCCATCAAGTCCGGGCCAGTATGTGAACATTCAACTTATCACACCATTGACTAGAAGTTATCACAATGGTGGGTTCGACTTAGTGTCTCCGTCGTCTTACTTGCCACTCCACAACGAAGTCATTCGATCACTAGGTAAACTAATTAGAAAGCTGGAACGCCGGTCCGCCGTTGCTGGCGCCGGAACTACTGCCCTGGATTGATTGCCTTCAAGCCACTAAATGAAGTCTCGAGCATTCCACGAATCAGTGTGTCTCGTTGGGCGCTTGGCTACACCTCTTTGCGGTGCCCGTTCATACATCCATCCATGGATAATAATGACTCATGATGACAGGGATATATACTGATGGACTTATCTCTACCTAATCAGTTAGCTCTTGTCAGGAACTATACACACACTATCTGGAACAGGTTGGCCATGAGCCATAATGATGTTGCTTGCTACAGACAAGAAGGGACGGGACGATGCGAGAAAAACATGCTCTTCTACACCTACAAATAGGATAGGTATAGGCTGCCAGCCAGATCAGCCATCTACCGAAAAGTTAACCCTATAGCCTTGTTTTTCTGGCAGTGATTGAAGGGCTATTTTCCTCGATACTACGCCTCCGATGTCAACCTCTGATCCGTCGATCCTGCATTCCGAGAGACTGTTTCCAAACAAGGAAGCTAACTCGGATTGCATCGATGCCTTGTCTTTACTGGATGCCACCACGGTAGACTTCTTGGATGCAAGCGCCGTTTGGCTCTTTGAGTGTGAGCAGCAAAACTGCGGCAATCTGGTGAACCACCTCCGTCAATCTCTCAGGACGACGCTGGATGCTTATCCTCAATGGTGTGGCTTGATTAAAGCTGTTAACTCGGTGGATGGCCCTGTGGGTGCTGATCGAGATCGGCTGGCGCCTCATGCCCGCCGTTTTGGCCGGGTGTATGTCCATTATGGCACGCGGGCTGACCCAGGCGTTGAGTTCGTCACTGCACTTGCAGCTGATACTCTCGATGGCCTCTGTCCTTCCTCTCGTACGACATCTCAGCCTCTCTGGAATCAGGAAAATGTGGCTTTATCGAAGTTTGTCCCAAAGACTTGCTTGGCGAACCCGCTTAAACAACCTGTTGTCGACGCAGATATTACCTCTCCGGTCATGGCCATCCAAGTCACGAACTTGGCCTGTGGAGGGTTTGCCCTAGCAGTCAAAATAGCTCATCCTTTAGCGGATGCGCAGTCACTGGTTCACTTCGTCAAAGACTGGGCAAGTGTCAGCCGTTCTGCGTTACTGTGCGAGCCTATCCCGGTCTTGAAACCTTTGTTTGAACCGGCGCGACTCGACGACGCAGCAGCAGGGGACATCAATGCTGCTACGCCGGACGAGTCGATCATCGAACAAACAAAAAGCCTACCGTTTCATCGCTATGACTGGTGGAACGTGCCCCCTGACTCTCCTCTGAAGACACGCATCCCTGAAGCTTTCCGGAACCAGGACATTCCCCCAGCGGGGAAGCAAATACCATGGTCAGAATGGGACACGAAAGCGCCGGTGTCTCATTATATCGTGCACCTGAGTCACGAGCAGGTCGAGAAGATCTGGACGCAAGCCAACAACGTATCCTCCACAACCACAAAGACTAATCAACTGAGTCGACACGATGTCATTCTGGCACATATATGGTCAAGCATCAACCAAGCTCGGAAGATGCAACACGACCCCGGGCCGATCCACTGCGACCTGGCGTACGGGTGCCGACCGGCGTTTCATCTGAGCGATGCCTTTATGGGGTCGCTTTCCGTGATGGTTAATGTGGAGATGGCTGGGGCGGAACTGACGACGACTGCAAATTCGGACGGCAAGGAAACTGCCGTACTTCCGCCCATCGCGCACCGCATCCGCCAAACTCTTCTTCAGCTGAAGAATCATCCGGCCCGCTTGGCTGCCCACCTCCACCGTCTGGCATACGAAACGTCTCCGCAACGCATTTGGCAGGGATTTCTGGGTTCTCGGCACGTTATGGTGACGACGTGGGCGTGCGCAGGGCTGTATGATGTGGATTTCGGGTTAGGTCCACTTTCTTCTTCTTCCTCTTCCTCGGCTCGCTACGCGGATGGTATCCTCGCCAATTTCGATGGCCTCGTCTTGATCAAAGAGGCACCGCCGCCGTCGCCATCCGATCGGGAGTCGGAGGTCAGGCACTGCCGCGTTCCGTCGGCTTGGACGGAGCATGGTGTGGATGTGCAGATTCATCTCCGGAGAGAAGATATGCTCCGGCTGTTAAGAGATCCGATGCTATTGCCGGACACTACGTAGACCAAACCTATTTACATCACTAACTAACCCCTAGTTTGAGTTTACTACGTATACTCAATCGAATCAGATAAATTACTAAGCGGAATGATCAGAGATATACTCTGCTCGGCAGTTACGCAGTCTTGAAATGTACCCACTTGCATATATACTTCTAACCCCTATCTACTGTCCTACTGACTTGGCTTCAACGGCCGTCTTGGTCTTCCCCTGAATCTATAATAAGTTCGTTAAGCATTTACCTTGAACTAGTTGTATTAGTCAATGCCTCTTATAGTACGTCCGTAATGATCTGAAAATAATACATTACGTTAGGCGAATATACTATATTTACATAACTAGGCACAGCCTGGAGCCATGCATGCATAACATAACATAAAATAACATAAAGCCCACTAATTTCCACATGTCATTACTTAAGTTCCTTATATTAAAGTACTAAGTACCTACTATTCAGTGCACTATGATGATGTTACTTAGATATATAGAATATGAATTTGATGAAATAGGAATATATCTTAGCCGGTGTGTTCTCTTTAGATGATAGTATAGATAGTAGTAACATTCATTAGTATATATCTCATACAACTTAGTACTAGTAAGTACTGGTTAGCAGTCCCTAAATATTTCCATGTACGTAGTATAAAATAAATAAGTTAATACAGACTACTACTTACAGACTATTCTGCCAGTCACAGCCACACTGCCCCTGCCACGATGTATGGTAGTACCTACACTACTACACACTCACTCATATATAATCCTTTAGTCAACTTAATTTCAATAGCAACAAGTAAGCATGCATTCGCCGAAGTTGTCCCAACATCAATCAATCAATGTATCAATTAGGATTGTTTTTTTCCCTAGTGCTTACTTCCCATCTCAAGTCATAACAATTAACTAATTAGTTAAACGTTACTGGTAAGTTAACTCAACTGTCATATCCAAGTTGCCTGCCTGGTTACGGTTAGTTTTATCGTGGCTTGGCGCTTACTTACAGTAGTTGTCTAGCTAATGCATGGTCTAGTTTCAGGTTATTTGTTTGGGAGGGGAGGGGAGGGGAGGGGAGGGGAGGGGGGCTGTGATGGGTTGAACTAGTTTCCTGATAGGGATAATTGGTTACGGAGTAACTAGGTAGGTAGATTGTTACTTTGTTGGGGTTGTGGATGAGGCGATGACAGTTACTAAGTAGTATAGGAAGTAAATTAGTTCAAGTGTCTAAGGTATAGTACGATGGCTGTGTAGGGTGTGCTGGGGTGCTAAGCCCTGGGGTGGGTGTGGTGTTGTTAGTTGCTGTTTGATTGATTGCTTACTATGCTATGCTTATGCTTGTGATTGTTGGTCGTTTTGTTACTAACATGTAATAGGATGACTGGTTACTGGTGTATGTGACAATGTAAGATTTTAGAAACTATAATACATTTTTTATTCGGGTTATTTGGGGAGTGATAATGTACATGTCTCGTCTGTCTCATCCTCTTCTAGCAATCCGCCCGACCGAAGTATCTAGGGAACGCGACAATGTCTCTAACACTGGACACGCCAGCCAAGTACCCCAGGAAGCGATCGAACCCGAGTCCGAAGCCTCCGTGCGGCGCGGTACCCCATCGACGGAGGTCGGCGTACCATTGAAGATGGCCTAGATCTTCGCCGGGGAGGAGATGAGGGTACAGTTCTTCTGCTTGATGGGAGGTGGGCGTGGCTGTGTCAGTGCCGTCATTCGATGCGGCAAGGTTCTTGATTAAACCATGTTGGCGCATGTTCTGGATGATCTCCGGGAGGCGGTGCTCGCGGAGTGAGCCGCCAGCTACTTCGCTGACCTCTGGTAGAAGAAGGTCAAAGCAGGCGACTGTTTCACCGTGGGTGG